AACCATATGAGACCCCGACAGGATAGGCGTGGTATTGAGCCGGACGACTACAGAGCTGCCTGCTACCAAAGTCACGTGGCGGTGGCGGGGCTCGAAATTCGGACCATAGGGTTCAAAGCACGCCGGTGACAGACCAAACCATCGAGCCACCATCATCAAACGGCGACCATGTCACTCGTTTCCCTGACTGTATGATATGCTATAGTACGCAATGTAAAACAAATAGCCACCACCGTTAGACTCTCGGTTCTCACGGTGATGCAGACCGCGGCATCGTGTAGTGGGACCCGGTGTCATGATGATGCCTAATGGCGCATTGCACGAGACCTTGTTCATACAAAAAGAGCATTAATTCAGAAGCGGAACCTGCTTTCGAAAAAATAGGATGAAAAGAACAACGCATTAGATTTCTTCTGATCACCAATCTCTGTCAGTTGTGTAATAAAGAAAAAAAACAAATCTTATAGGGACATAAAAAAATAACCAAGATTAGAGTGGAGTTCTAGTCGAACCGTGATTTATTGAAAAGAGAACAAAAATAAACTAAAGGTCACACAAGTGTGGAATGCATACGAGCACAACTTACCGCCCGATAAGCATTTCCGTGTTCGTGTGAATGATCAACGCGGCCACGGCAGCTAGGATCCCGCTTACTCCGATCGCACCAATTGCATCGGGCAGAGGATGACCGGTCAGTGCGGTGATACTCATTGCTGAACCGGCCACAAGGACACCGAGCACCGCAGCCAAATCTTCTAACAGGACAACACTGGTGCTAGGATCCACACCGGCAAACAGCCACTGACGAACGGAGTCATAGTTCTGACGCTTTGCGCCGCGACGAGCCTCACGATATGCGAAGAGTAGGGTGCCTGAACGTACGAATAGGAGGTAAAAAAAAGCAGGATTAAGATCTCAGATGGGTACAGATGTGAAAATCGGGAGATGAGCAAATAGGCTGTTCTATTCCCAGATCCTCTCCTACTTTTTTTCTTGAACTTCAATTGCCGATCTGGTGGGAAGACACATTGGTCACCGTATAGCGTTTTGCTTCAATTATCCTGGTATGCTTCTTGTTTGGAACTATGCAGTCGCTTCGAATTACAACTTATTTCATCCCCGTATTAAGCTCCACAAAGATGAGTGCCAAACATCTGGATCCAGCTAAACGATCAGAGAACGAATAGCAGATGACGTTTGTCTCAGTCCTGGTGTTCACATTACAGTTTTCGTTTGTGTGTAGATATGCTTGTAACAATTTTGTATCCTGTAGCGACGATATCGATCAAGCGTTTAAATTCCCTGACACTTGCATCGTTCAGACCATGCAGTTTGGGCCCTTCCCCTCCCCCCCAAAAAAAATAAATAAATAAACAAAACATTTGGTGTAAACTAGCTTTACGCTCGTTTAGCTCGACAACACGTTTATCGAATGGGGCACTATACAGTTCGCTGTGTCAAGCTGCATGCCATAGAACCACCAGTTCCCACAACCGGTCTCGGCAAATAATCTACTTGATGATATGGTACCACATGACCCATCTAACGTACTCTATGGATGTCGAGCAGAGGTTACAATGGGCAACTGCGATCACCTAAAACTCTGCACCTTACCTCAACATTGCTCGTCTGGTTTCTTCACCACACTTACAATGTGGCATAGACAGCGGTGTTCGAACACCGACAGTAGCTTTTAGCTTATCGGGTTTCGGTCGGCGTCGATGTTGTTAATCTAAGCGTGGAACTGCTATCACGTAGCATACGTTTCTTTTTCATGCATATGATCCGTTTCGAGGTTAAAATTAATGTAACAAGTATGAGATGGTCAACATTTTATCGTCTTTGAATAGTGCCAGTTCATGCATATGGGTGGGGGAATGGTAAATCATCTCAATAGCTGCTCGCACCTGTTGTTTCACATTTTCCCACACCTGTTGCTGCTCTTGTTGTTTTTCAAGAAATTGTGATATTTATACTACAATCCCTCTGAAAGGAGTGCGAAAGGCGAGCACAAATGCTAACCCGGAGTCAGACAACAAGACCTGTGTTATTAACATGTGGCTATTATTTTCATCGTCATTGAGAACAGACTGCACACTAAAGTGATGTGATGGCTTGAGCCTTTTTAAGATTAAACGAGCTACACGGGATGGCTTCTGTCAGGCAAAATTGTCTGAATGATGATGAGTTGTGATCTGAAAAGCTGGGAAGCACTGCACAGCTGTTTCGACCTGGTTGGGTCTCATCAGCAGTGCGAATCAATCGACCCAACTGGGGATTGAACCCGGGATGTCACAGGCAGAACGTAAGTATACCATCCACTTGGCCACCGGGCAGACCGTTTTTCATTTTTCATTTACACGATATAGCACAACTCATCTTTGCTGGCTTGTTGCGGGCCACAGACCTCGTTCATCTCAGCACTAGCCTCCGGGTTGGGACTCGGTTGGAAACATTTACAACCTGGCTACTTGTTTCATATGAGTAATGGAGGATTTGATTCAATTTCAAAGGTGTATATAGTAAATAGTTGGTGAGACCCATCACCCAACTAGGTCAAAACAGCTATCCTGTGCTTCCTGGCTTTTCAGTCCACGCTTCATTTACTATATACACAAAGAATCCCCCTTTGAAGCTCACTCAAATCCTCCATTACTCACAAGGAATTATTTCCAAGTTGGTTGATCAGTGCGTTCTTCTCAAGCCGCTTTACTGTTTGCATTTTGTATGTTCCGGTCTATTGAAACGAAAATTATCTCCCCCCTGGGACTTCCATTCTGCTGTTTTATTTGCTTACTTTATCCCATTGATATGCCCAACACTTTCTCAGACATTAGACCTTGGCGACCCCTCATATTCTCACTTTGTTGTACACACTCCGTCCAAATATGATTGACTGTAAAATATTCCTTGTCCGGTATCTGGGGTGTCGTTTTTATAGACCAAGAGAGCAAGAGAGAGAGTTGCCAGTGGTTTCAGTTTTCGTCTTGGCATATAGCACCAACTTGTTTTGTCGCGTAATGTGAGACGGCCACTCTGTGCATTTCTTTCTAGCAGATATCAGACCAAACAGACACAAACTACGCGATCCATCGCAAAGTAGATCTCAACAAGAAATGTGCCGAGCCAAAATCACTGATACATAGCTTTTTCAAAACCGCTTCTTTCTTATCCCTCAGGGCAGAATGAATAATGTGTGCCTATCAAATATAAATCAGGCAGGAAGGATCAATTTCACAATTGTAATCATTAGTGTGTGATGTGTTAAGCATACACCAGTGGAAGCAGACATCAATCGGGAAGAAATGATTTAGGAAATCCGATACATATTTATCATTTAGAGAAAAATACAAAGCCTCGGGGTGACCTAATGGTAGTCCGTGCGCCATTATAATCTTGAGGTAGTTTAGAAGCTATTCAGATGAATAGAAATGCTATGCAACCAGTTCACTTTACCAATTTCATAATATCTAGGAGAAGCATCATGTTCATAGGATGCTTTGAATTAAACCATCTCCAATACAGACAGTTTATTCTCTAGAGCCACGATAATCTGCTCCAATGAAACCTTAAAGTTCGATGTTCGCTGTATATCCACGGCACCGTATGAAAATGGATACCCTAAAATGTCTATTTCAAAGTATGGAGCGCCGTTGAATAAACTAGAACAAAGTGACATCCCCTCAACAGAAAGCTACTTTAGTCGCCATACTGTCTCAAGATGATCAAAATGATAGGCGGATAAAGCGCAGGTTGAAACAATCGATTGATAGAACGTATAACGCCGCCTCCTTCATAATACTGCACGATACGAAGCGAATGTTCATTGAATCCAATCCGGACATACCCGACTCTTCAGTTATCTCCTCCTGTGTTTACCTATTTCATTGTAGTTGCAGTAGCAGGTACGTCGGAAGAACTGAGAGACGATAGTCCACCGGGATAGCATGTATCGAAAAAATTGGCTTCTAAGGGGTCCAAGCTTCCGTCCATTTAAATGCCCCGATATATGCTGGATTGCAAAAAATGTGACAAATCTAGGGACGCCTTTTTTATCTTGATCCGCCAGAAAAGTAGCCGGACAGAGGTGTCCAATAGGAACCACTCCCTGTATTTTTGTATTTGGACCTTGCCATGAAATAAAAATAATTGTATCTTGTTGGCAAATTATTTTATTGATTTTTGAAGTGCCTTTAGTTGCATTATGCCACTCTTGGATGAAGACGAATTTGGGGCATATTTGTTTGAAATTGTGGCCTTGAAAGCATGTTAGGGAGTAAGAATATCCATCATCTCTTAAAAAATGAGCAAAATTTCGTTTACGACCACATTGTGCAGTACCACGATTTGCAGGCTTGCATCCCCAGATATACTTTTTGATGCAGGATGTGCAAAAAATATCGACTGGGGTAATCTCTCTGACGGCTTTGTACATCGTGTGACCGGCGTTCACACTAACACTGGAGTTCTCCCGGAGTGGGATAAAGCGCCGACTGAAGAACGGGTGCGGTTCCGTCCTAGAGATGAGATTGGGACAGTCTGTGTATATGGAACCACTTTTGGGCCACATTGGACAAGCGTATTCCTGTTGAACCATTTGTTGTTCTTCCTGGTTATGTTATTTTGATATTATGTTATTAATAAGTACTTTTATACTGCTGTTTATACGAGCCGTATGCTTTTAAAATTCACGCTACTTATGAGTAGTTCGAATATTTTTCCCAAAAATCGAGGGTTGCTATTGGACACCGCCGGCAACCGTCCATTACGGTTTGCTGAAGCGTCTGCCATTCGACGTTACAAGCTCGATTCATGTAAACAGACCTAATTTGTGACTATTCTCTCGCTGCCCTGGCAGGTATCACTGTCCTCCTCCCTCTCACCCCCCCACCCCCGCAGTGATTCCGCTCCTTGCCCCTATGCTCAATATTAGTCACCTTTGGCCTTCGTTTGATTAATTTCTCTTCCCCGTGTGTGTTCGCCTGTCCCCACACCTGTCACTCTTTCAATAAAATGTGATCGAAATATATTTACAAAGCTGATGAGATTACCACGAAATAGTTGAATTCAACACATTCTTTGATCATGATGCTTCTTCTTGCACTCATGAAAAGAAATGCCTTGATCATTGGTAAATCGTCCAGCAGAGATCACTGTTAAGGCAAAAGTGAAGAAAAATAAACCGGATAAAATGGTAAGGTTTTCTGACCGAACGGTATAGTTTTCCGAACGGTGATGCTTGAAAAGCTAAAACGCATCAATGCATATATTTCCTAGATCAATGGATCTACTTATCGCACAATGTAAGCAGAAGATTCGAATCAGTGAGCACTGAAATCGTAGCACATCATCATAGTTATCGAACGCCTAATGAAGGAGGAACCCACCGTGTCCTTAGTGTCACTCAATCCCCGGGTAATTCTTCCGTTCATGTTCCCATACGAAGCAAAAACCACTGCTTCCGGTCGTCGAACGTTTGAACTTTCCGGCGTGGAGAAACCTTTCATAAAGGTAAGAAAACGGGTCGGCTTATTTGTATTTATTTTCATCACTTAATTTATTCATTTTTTCAAACGTACTTTGTTCTTTCTTCTCTTTGGTAGACTCTCTTGTCTTATCCGTTGGTGCTGTAACGGCTAACAATGACGTATTAGCGGCTAAATGAATGCATACACTTTTTGTCTTTCCCCTTTTCTTTGACCATTCCTTTCGGGTCGTTCGGTGTCAACTTGTCCGCCACTTCGTGCGGCTTTTGATCCGTCTCTCCTGATTTCATTTCGTTAATCGGTACTTCGTCACCGGGCTTTTGCCAAGCAGGCACATATCGTTCCAAATAGTCCCAAAGCAATTCGGATGATTGGTTCCTATTCGAAAGAAATCAATTGTGGAATAAGTTTGAAACACTGAGTCCTTTTCATCCATTTCATCAATACTGGAAGAAGATAAATATGTCGAGATGTTGCCATATCGTTTAGTATTCCCAATCGCTGACATGACAGACACATATATAGTACATCGCGTCAATCAGATTATGGTGAACGAACGTGTACAAACAACCAAAGATTAGAAGCATAGTTTCCCCGTAACGAATTTGAATAGAGAAGCCAAAAGCACAGGTTAGCACAATTTATCCTGGAACACTTCGCTGCATCTGTACACGTGCATACTTCAGTCTATGTGATAATTATTATATGACCAGTACTATACTGCCGGTATTTTGATAATATATTCATCTGTGAGTCAAAGGAAGAGGGAGGGAGATAGGTTGAACGCTTGAATAATCTTCATCCGAACATAACGTTGATACGTCATATTGAAACGCAAGACAGCATCGCCTTTCTGAACGTGTAGGTTTCACGTCCAACGGATGGAGCAGTCAGAAGATCTGTGTTCCGAAAGGGTGCATGGTCCGGACAACATATTAATTTTGCTATGTTTACTCCAATGGGATATAAGATTGGTCTAGTTCGAACGTTCTTCTATAGGGCGCGACCGATTTTCACTGCGGATAACGGATATGACCAGATTAGAAAAGTTTTACAATCTAGCAGATATCCGAATGGGTCCATCTTAAAGCACTCTCCACCCAGCTTTAAACGGGAAAAGACACCAGGTAAAGATAAGATGAGAGTGTTCCTGCAACTGCCCTTCAAGGATGATGATATGAGCTGCCTGATTACCAAGCGCCTAAAATCCTTAAGTGCACCGACTACGCAGCTGATCCCATCGTTGTTTTTACAACCCTCCGGTTGCCAATATCCTCGATGAAAGAACCGCTGTCTCCCCACGCCAAATCTAATTGTATCCATCATTTCAAGTGTGGATGCTCGGCCATCTACATCAGTAGAACGGAGATGCAATTGCGTTACCGAATAACCGTGCACATCCCGGTCTGGCTTCAGAAAACAATGAGTAGGAACTTCAGAAGTATGAGGTCACCAATGAACCGTAGGAAACTCAATTTGTCGATCACACAACAACTAGTCGAAAGGAAACACTACGTCGTGCTGCGCGACGCGTTCAGAATCCTCTACAACGGAAACAACACCAAGGTTCTGAAATACACCGAGGCACTAGCCATTCAAAATTACTATCTCAAACTGTGTAAACAGCGTGAATGGCCTATCACTCAGGCGCTACCTTGATAACAAATGTGTTTGGTGAGCAATTTTGACCGCATTCTTTCTCCACCTATGATTCTGTTAGTTACTGACCATATGTTATTGATCACATTGACTACAGTATGCATGTGTACAGATCCAGCGAAACAATCCAGGATACATTGCGCAAACCTGTTTTTGGCTTCTCTATTCAAAACCAAAGATTAATAAATATAGAGGCAAAATGTCAACTCCAAGGAAAGTGGATTGTTTGTTTCAAAACTTAGTGCGCATAAAATCGGGTAATGTAATCGAATAAGCAACACTTACTAAATTGCCGAAAAAGAATTAGCATTGCGATTACGAAATAGTGGTTTGAAACAAGAATCGGTTTGAGGTTAGTTTCTGTCGGCGATGGTCCACTGATAAGATCACCAAAGCTGCCACACCACCGTTGCTTATCTTTGCATCTTTATATTTCCCCAATCAGCCTTTGTATGGTCGGAAATCTCTTTCTGAAAGCTTTCTTTACACTTTTGTTGTCAATAGACAAAAAGGAACTAAAAGCATCTTACCATATACTTCATGCAATCAATCCCTTTTCAGTGGAGTTGAACTTCTAATTCTATATTTAGTAATCTATGTTTACTTGGCATGTTCGTTAACCAGAATGCATCAACCCAATATGCTATTTATGTATCTGTTTGGTTTAAGTCAACAACTCAGGAGAATAAATGAATAATTGGTAACGTCTCTTGACATTTGTCTTATTTCGGAAGCAATGAAATATCAACACAAGTCTTGTGTTACCTTAACATGATTGTGTGTTTTGTCCATCCGGTTAGTGCGTGAATTGGACTGAAATCACCGAACTCTGCATCATAAAGTCCACCACCGTAACTATGGAATCGGAGAGAGAGGTATGCAAACGCTAATGGTGGTAGTAGTCATTCAGGGGAGAAAACATCGTAATCACTCAAGTCAAATTCATCTACAGTAACAAAAATAATCCATCTTGTTATGGATTAATACTACTGATTCAGTGGGAGCTTATTATTTACGATGCACAAGCCGATAAGAAGCCCGTCTGCTGCAGTTGAAAAAGGAAATTATTGGGTTTATCACTTTTAAATTGGATTCAAATAGAGTTAAGATAAGCATTTCGAAACGAAGAAGAAGTATACGGGAAGAGGAACAATCCCAGAATCAAGGAATGCTCCTAAAAACTTAGAATACGAAAAATCTGTCCTTGGGAAAACACAACATAAATTATAATTTCGTAAGATGTTTCACTCCTCCGGAGTCTATACCGTACCCTTTTATTGTTTTCTGCCGCTTCAAAGCTCCTCATAAGGTGAGTGTTGCTGTTTCACTGTCAGTTCTGTGTTGTATTTTTACTTCTTTCATCTGCTTTTCTACATTTCTTCAGGTATCGTCATGACTACTTACCTCACCAGGTTGAAATGATCTGTAGAGGACATGGATTATTTCTCAGTGCATGTTCATTTATTTGGGTGATTAAGAGAGACAATAATGTGTTTTTGGAATCTGTCATGTCAAATTTACAAAACCCTGTGATACGAAAAACCTTCATGGGATTATTAACGCTTGTCATGTAGTAAAGCAACACTTATTATTCTGGTCTGTAGACATGACTAACGCTGAATTGTTTTCTTCAGGAATGACTGACAGAATCAGTTTCCTAAAACTCATTATTAGCACTATCAGGTTTGGTTCATGTTCATCGTTCACTCAAGTGTAGCACGTAACTTACAATCTCGGCAGGACTTACTCGAGTGCGGCAATTTTGAGCAACGCCTTCGTCAGCAACATTGGCCACAGTTCATGTGTGTGTCGACTTCTTGGCATTAGTATCAAGTTATCGCTACCAAACGGGATGACATCATCCACCACAAACTTCCTCCAACATCCCTATCAGGTTAATAACAATGCAATGAGAGATGAAATGAACAAGAATGCATCACGAAATAGTGCGTTTTGATGACTGAAGACAAACAGATACTGCAAAGAGTTTTCTTTNCCCCCCCCCCCCCCGTCTCACCAATCACACACACTTGATGCGATAGGCTAACAAATTTCAAGTTGAACAAAGAAGAAAATGATGCAAGCAAGCAAGATTTAATTTCGGAATCATTTCGCCGCATCCCAACTGGTGTTAACTGCAGAATACAAATCAGTTAATATATCACAGGTGTTGATAATCTAACATGGTAGCAATTCATTCTTCCGCTTACGTGGTTACCAGGGCAATGCCATACTGATAGAGATCTCCTTTTGCTTTCGGCGCTTGGTTGCTAAGACCTCTGCAAATCTCAGCAGCCGTCCATTCGAGGTTGTTTAAACAACCTGAAAAGAAGTTCTGCAACCGGCTTGGTGGTCAATCTGAGGCAGATGGCGAGCAATTGATGACGCAGATGTTCCCTGAGGCTGGTTTGATGGCTTGATTGTTTGTGTAGCCCTCAATCCGATCCATTCTCGTTCGATCCATACTGATATACGTACTTCCACTCGGGTACTAAGCTGCCTCTCTGTTTTGCCCACGTGGATGGCTCTGTACCCACATTGAAATTCATAGATTACGTGCGATTTGGCGGACAGAGGGAGTGGTGATTTCACCAAGGGCTTCAGAATCTGGGTTGTGGTGAAGCAAACGACCGGATTTACAGCAAAATATGTGCGGGCTACCAATGCCACCAGACGTCTTCGCACCAGTTCGCCTACATCATTCGACGACAGCTGAGTGAGAACGTCGCATTTTGGTGCTGTCATCTCCGAGGTCTTGGGTTCGGCTTTTACATTGCACCATTGTATAAACCACTTAGGGTAACAATTGAGCATTATAGTTTCGGTGAGCCGAACTAGCTCACTTGCCACATTATCCACAGTACACAACCTCCTAGCTGGAGCAAGCAGGGTGCGTATGATACCTCGTTTGCATTGCCTTGGAGTGAAACTCCGAAAGTGCATATACTGGCCGGTTCACGTGGATTTTCGATGCACTGACCTCGAGATAGTTCCGTCTGGTCTTCTCCCAATAACAATATCTGGAAATGGGAGTGTGTTGTTCTGCTCAGTTTCCATAGTGAATTGGATGTCTTTGTGAAGTGGTTAACACAACCTCAAATCTACGGCTGCCGAACTTAGCAGAATCCATAGCAATCAAGCTCCGAAGGCCCCTGCTTGTCAGCCAAAGGAGGTCTATTTCAGTATGGCATTGCCCTGGTAACCACGTAATCGGAAGAATGAATTGCTACCATGTTACATTATCAACACGTGATTTATAAACTGTTTTGTATTCTGCAGTTAGCACCAGCTCAAATGCTGCAGAATGATTCCCGTATTAAATCTTGCTCGCTTGTTGTTCTCTGTTCAAATTTATTTCGGGAAATAATTATTGTAAATGTGCAAAATGGTTAATTCTACTGTTGAATTTGAAAAAAATTCCAGGAAATTTGTGGCTGGATAAAAGGACCAGTTAGAAGAGTTTCCTACTTCTTCGAATCATCATATCTTCTAATCCACCAAATCCCATTAAATTGGGATCCGGCCACAATAAATTTTTATTAGACGCATCTAGACCGTTGGACTATCAGTGCTAAATCACAGCAGGTTGCTCTATGTTCACAGCGTTCAAATCGCACTTAGAATTGAAAAACAAAAATACCACATTGAATAGACTGCTACTTTATGAAAATGGAACACAAAGACTTTTGAGCATGCTCTGTGATGCTTTGTGATTCCGAATCGATTTGGTAACATTTTTAAAAACCTCTACATAAAGGGTTTGAAAACAGCCTGATGAAATAAGTAGCTCTGTGTGTGAAACAATCCTATTTAAATAGACCACACTTTAAACCCAATCAAAATTAGAATGATACAAAAAACTATTATTCGATTTTAGGCTATGAACATGTCATCGATACGACTGAGTTGTAGACGTTAGGTGTCTGATTGTTTGCCCTCAATCAGTCGCGACTCAGCACGAAAGAAACCGATCTATGCAGACTGCAACTTATCTCTTAGACTATTCCAATCAGAGTTGAAAGAAAGCGGCTATCTTCATTCACTAATAAGTCAGTCAACTTGGCAACATCCGTGCGATGTCGGTTGACTGTAATGCACTCACACTGGAATGAAGAAAGAATACTCAATGAATTCATTGACAAAAAATACCCGTGTAAACTAACTGCCCATATTCCACCCACTTCAAACAATTTGTGAAAATAATTTCGGTTTCGGTTTCTCAACTGTAACCCTCACAAATTGGTGGTGTTAAAATAGATCGTGTTTCAGCTTAAAATGTATTGACCATCACAGATGTCAATCAATTATATTAGCTGTATTTTAATTCTTTTGCCCACCAGAAGGCATGGGAAACATTGAGGCTAAATACACAGCTCAGTAAAGAAATGTTTTTCTTTATTATCCTCACTTTCCATAAATCATAAGAAATCATTGATGATTCTCTTCTCCTTTCCGGTTGTCACTGAATGGATAGAAGTTCACTGAACGGCAAGTGTCCCACTTCCCAAAGCAAGAATTTCCAACCAGCTCTTACTCGAACGAAGAAGGAAATTTGATTAAACCAAACACTGCAGTCCCATTTGAAGCAAACAAATTTAACCGCCTAACCCACTTGAAAAATTTCAGGGTAACACAGCAAGCGAGGCGCAGTTGGGCAAGTGAGCAAATGGTCACCGAAAATGTAGAATGCGAATGGACCTATAGATTGTCATTATCGTTTGCAAAAGTACCACACCGTTTGCACAAGCAAACTCAACACTAATTAAGTCATTTCATACCTCCCCAAATGAGTATTGCGTATTTAATATACAGGTATGTATGTTCTATAATTGATCAATCGAAATCAACCTTATACAACCCAAACTTTCTCTGAATCGTTACGTTTTCCAAATTATCTTGTTTTATGTTGAGATTGTGAAAAGTTCAGTAGCCTCGCTGGGATTGGAACCCGGGCATAGACGCCACCTACACTTTTGTGCAGCTCACGCTCTACCAACTGAGTGAGCTACGAGGCCAAACCGATAGCACTGATCTTTTCAAATTCGAATTACCCAATAAAACTTACACAGGCATATGGTATCCACCAGTTAGCATATAAGCTGAATGCCCCGACAGATTTTCCTTAGAAATCACCGGAGTCCACCGAATGAGCTTTTAAGACACATTCGAATGTGAAAAGATCAGTGCTATCGATGTGGCCTCGTGGCTCAGCTGGGAGAGTGTGCGCTGTACAAAAGCGTAGGCGGCGCCCATGCGTGGGTTCAAATCCCACCGAGGCTACTGAACCTTTCACAATCGACATGTAAATCTACCAAACAACTATAGAATATTTAATATACAGGTATGTATGTTCAATACGTGAATGACTACATGGAAGTTTGACGAAAAACCGCAACATACGGCAAAAGCTAAGGGTACGGTTTTCACAGCAGATACACCACTGAGTCTCATCTTCAGCCATTTCTGCTGATGTTGTAATCCGTAGGTATAAATTATACCTGATGCGATTAGCGGGAAGTGATTACTTTCCATTTTACTAATGATATCAGTATATGCATACTCACCATCCAAAACAATTTGACAAAATATTTCCCATATGGATTGTACTGAGGCGCGTTCGGTTCTTTACCAACTCTCGTCATTGCATAAATGGATTCCCATGGTTTCCATGTATAAACGAACCCATCTTCGTGGGCCAGTCCATCGCTCACATCTGCGGGTGTGGCTTTCCGTCGACCAGATAACCACAAGTTTTGTATATCACATATGATCCATCGCATTGTCTGGGGGAAAAATGGTCACAAAACACAATGCATCTATGGCAAAAACTGACAGTTAAACAAGACTAAATCCTAAGCTGAACTAGTCTAATTTTCGCTTGACAGAAAGATACTAGCTCCTAATTCTGAATTTCCATTATAGAGTACCTGCTTATTTAAACATTATTCATGTTTGCGATATCGTCTATGAGGTGGCTTTCTCCACCTCGTGTTCATTTATTACAGCAAGAACCATGTTTCTAATGTTTTTGTATCGAATAAAGTGAAAAATAACAAAAAACGGCTCTCTCAAAACAGAACACAAGGCCGCTAATCTGTTGGCCAATGTACTTGTTATCAGAGTGCGCGCGTTTGCGATATTTCACAGTGAATGGACAGTGTATTTTATCAAATGCGTGTATTGAACGAATTAGTGAAATATGACTCATTTTAAAAATACATTTCGGCTTCCAATGTCATAGATGTATACCGATAGCTTTGGTTGATGTGGGGCAATATCATGTTCAATCCTATGAATGAGGTTCGAAAAACCAAACGTTGGGAGCAACAAATGTGATGAAGGTGAGGGTGTTGCATGAGTTTAGTCAATACCTGTAATCTGTATGTTTCTTCCTCACGAACACATTGAATTAACCAAATTGGAACCAAAGAAGTTCGATGTAGAATAAAAGACCCTTAAATCCTCATCGGTTCCATTCAATTGAAACGTGGTTAGGTTTCGGGTACAACCGAGAAAAAATGTGTGCCGAATTTAGTAACCACAATTAACCCAATTAATTTAACCAGACACATTATCAAAGGTTTTTAGTTAATAAGTGATTGTTGGTTCGCATACTCGTAAGGGAATGTACGGTTGTCAAACAAGGAAAAGCAGAAGTGAAATACGAGGATTAGTTAAAAGGATAGCCAAGCCAAAAAAGTATCGCGTTTCTTATGGTTCAGGTTCACGATCTACTTTACAGGGTTTATTTTAAGTAAACCGTAAATTATTCACCACCCGCTTCTATTATTGTACCTAATCACAGTCCTTATACACTGGCTTATTCTAGTTATTCTAGTTCGCAGTTATCAACCGGTTCTACCAAAGTATGCTTCGTTGCAGCTGCTACAGAAGGCACAAATGCAGTGAGGTAGACTCGTCTGATTGGCAATTTTTAAATGGGGGGTGTATGAGAGGGTAAACGCTGTGTAATCGGATGGAGGCGTGTTGCGGCAGCATAAGAGGTTCTTTGTAAAAAGTTTTTTATACGCCATGTGATAGGTTGCATTTAGGCTCACCTTTTTATAACAGAGATATATGAATACGCTCTTTAGACACCCGATGGATAGACGGTGGAGTCTGATTCCTGGTTCGATTACGAAAAGGAACTAATGATTCCCGATAGCCCTTTTCTCGTAATGTGCAGCATATATTCTCCTATTCGTTTAGTATTGTCTTCCTTGCATATTTTTCTCGCCCCACGGAACCACGTTCGAACTAGGGCTCTCTTGGTTCCATTGGTGAGCAACTGCTGAATTGAAGATACTCTCCGGACCAAGTCTTCTTGAGGAAGATAGATCATTGAATAGAACCATCACTTGTACAGGTTACAAGGACTTCAAGGAAAGTGAGCGAGTATCCCTTTTCTACTTTACGGGTAACGGTTTTAAGTTCAAGTTTAAACAACAATTAAGCATGCACTTCTGTGCGTCGCTTGTGGTTGCTGTCTTTTGGCTACTCCTTTGAATGAACAATAGGAGGAAAACAGGAAGGTTGAAAATAGGATCGAAGAGAAAATTTAAAATTTCACTGGACTAATGACACAGAGAAATTGAGAAGATGCACAAACGCCACGGTTTAGGATACTCAGTCGCATCACTCAGTGCTTCTAACCATGGGTTACGATCATCCCGAGGTTCCCATCCGGGGAGCCTAACAGGACCTATGTAACCCAGACTCCTGGTTAGGGTTTCCAAAACCTCATGCCAGGTCTTAGCTTGATCACCCTGGACTTTCTTCCACCCACTACCTGCCTCAGGGAACATCGCTCCCCGTGGCAACCTATTTGGTGACATGCTTAATACATCATCTGGGCGAGGTATGGTTTAAACTTGTGCTTTATCGTTCAGGATTTCTATCAGTTTGGCGACGCATCCGTTCCTTTCCATGATGACTACGCAATGCTCCTTGTCAGGTTTTGGCACTAACAGATTTTGATCGCTTCAAAGCTGAAACATTTATTTCCCTAGATAAAATTGAAGAGAGAACACAACAGAGCTAGGGTGCATAATTTAAGCCAAGGCAGAATTTGCTGCATCCAGATAGTAAAATACGACAGAAAACTACAGTTTATATCGTTGAACAGTGCATAATGCTGTCAACCTAATCGTCGTGCACACAACCGTACGCATCCCCACCGCACCCACAAAGCGACCCATACCACTGTCCGCCACTGTCCGTCATTTACCAGTTTGGATGTGGATGCGGAGCATGCTGCATTTACAGAACAGATAGTCATTTGCAAACACGGAGCACATCCAATGTTGGGTTAGACGCCGATTGACCGAATCACATGATCAAAGGTCATTTTCCAATTTGACCACTCAAACCCACATGTGAGCAACACCTACCAGTAACACACTCAATAAGATTACACCAGTACCAAACCCCACCTTTACGTAAAGACACCGAACACACAAACAGCCTGCGTGATATATCTCCCGACGTTTGTAGATGACGAATCATGATCGGGATCCGACAAGCTGATTTGAGATTATTGTTGCTAACACCAATCCCCGGGTGCTTAGGCTTGCGGAGTCGGTTGCATCCAGGAAATGGAAACCTGGTGTGTGCAAAAAGAGCTGCCAGTCACGCTGTCACTGCCTTTGAAGTGGCAGAAGTGTAATGATTTGTCCCAGTCGTATTCTTGTGTAACCTGATGTACCGTTCAGCGATATAAACTGCAGTTTTCTGGCTTATTGGGCCTGTTGAGATGCAGCGAAATCTGCCTTGGCATACATCGTGCAATCTAGCTTTGTTGTGCTCTTGCTTTAAAGTTGTTTGAGTGCTTGAAAATGTTCTTGATATACCATACAATTTTGATGAATGGGGTCGTTGAAAAAGCTGTGGCTTTAAGCCGATACCGGTTATCCTCGCTTGATGGAGGCAAATCACCAAGTTGCTCGTGGAAACGCTGCTTCGACGTAAATTTTATCGACGTTCTTTGGAGGACACTTGAAATTATATCCCAAAGATAAAGATTCCAGTTGAGGTTTAGATAAGACTGTGATAGATAGTTTTTTGACGAATTTTGCAGGTTCTTTGGAAAAGGCATCATTCAGTAGTGATTTCGACAGATTCTTGTAAATTCAGGTTCGTCGAGTTCGCAGTCCAGCGTATCGTATTCCACGTAAAAACGCAGAAAACTTGATGCGGCAGACGACTGATAATTGATTAGTTATAGTAGAATTGCAATTGTGTGTCGACACCTATTGTTCCAACCTGGTTTGAAGTGTGTCGATTTGGGACAATTTCCAGCGGTGGAGACTGTCACTTTTCGACCCGACTTTGTCTTTTTTGAATGTAGTTAAAGATCCCACAATATAAACATCACATCTCAAACATTTTTCGGGGAACAACAGTCGAGTGTGCTCAGCTGCGATTTTACCGCGTAGTTTCAATAAGCGACCCAGCACTTTGACGGATTCAGGTGGGAGTCTTCTTTTCAAAATCTGAAACATTTAGATCCCGTAATGGACTATAAAAAAATGAGTCAGAAGACAAACACTGTGAGGAGAATTCCTTTAGTACACTCATCGGTAGGGTACATATAATATTGAACAACATAAACAAAAATATTCCTCTCGCAGTGTTTGGTTTCTGCCCTGTGTGTTCAAATTCATTACGAGATCTAAATGTTTCAACCTTAAGTTTACCTAATGTTATGTCTTATGTCAAGACGATGTGATCGATACGTACGCCCTTTGTCTAGGCCCCAACAACTGGAGAAAGAACACTGCTGAGAAAACGACAGTCAGAGTGTATTCTTGATCATGAAACAACAAGCAAATATATGTGGTCAGTTGGGCGTACGCGAGCAGACGTGGTGACGCGTCAATCAGATCGTGATCTTGACACTCAGGTTGATCGACCGGACGACAGCTATTTGATTCACCTTAGTCATCCAATCAGGAGTCGATTCGGCTTGGGCGTCACGAGCGCACTTGTGGTGTGACGCGCGTCGCTGCGTGGCAGGACGGATTTTGTGTGCTCCGTCCTAACACCTAACCTTGAAAATTTCCCCCACCTGAATTAATGCATATCTCAATGGCATGTGAATAGCCCTAATTCACCTCATGTTCTTTATGAGCTCCAGGTAACACTTCTGATCACTGAACAAATTTTATCCTAATATGTGTTCTAAAACCCGTCATCACCTTCATTCCTGACCTACTCCTCATAACCTAAGGAAGAGAAATTGTCTCTCTGAGAAATTGGCCAGATTCGGGGAAGTAGTTTCCTCTACCAACTTTTCTGTTTTCTCCAATAATTCCATCTCTTTGTCTGCGAACATCTTACTGCTTATGTAAACTACCGCTGTCACCAATGTTGCCCCGTTGAAATTATTCATAGTCGAACTCATCTGTTTTCCTCTCTGCTCCTCAAGCGACTCCATTTTACCAAAGAGAGCGCTCATATGATTGATATGCTCAACAGTTTAAAGCAACTACCTGTTATGATTAGACCAGAAGTAAAACGTGGGAACAGGATGTACCTTTAGCCCGTTTCGGATAATAAAAGCTGTGATTTTTTATATGGACCACCCTTCAGAAGGTCTGTGAAGCACGTATTATCTCTTGTCCCGAGGTTGGAGAACTTAATATTATATTCACTGTCGTACCTGGGCCAAGCTCGCTCCCTCCTCCTTTTCTTATTCATAATGTAACTCATTCTGTCTCTTCGAGTGGAATTCTCTCAATTTTGAGGGGATATTAAAGTAAAAATGGTCAAAGCCCTCATC